AACAAACAGTGGAATAAGTGATGGTACATTGAGCTTTCAGTTAATGAGATAAAACAAAATGTATATGAACTATTGAATGTAAAGTTGATGATCTGCTCTGTAAACCTTCACCCAATTTACAATAAAAAGTTAAAAGAACAAATAAGATGGAAGGGAAGCATGGAGTCACTGAACCAAAGTGAATGGGTCAGTTTTCAGTCATTTCAGGAGGGTAGCATATGATCAAAATTGAATGGTAATAAAGGAAAAAGTCCAAGCTGCACTGAAGGCAGTAGCAAAACGCAATACTCCAGGAATTGATGGAATACCAGTTGGAATAATTTCAAGACACGAATGCAATACTGGAAGCACTCATTCCTCTAACTCAAGAAATTTGGAAGGCAGCTACATGACAAGTCATCTGAAAGAGATCCACATTGGTACCCATACATCAAAAAACAGTGATCCAAGAGAATACAGAAATTATCAAATAGTATCAATATCACACACAAGTATAATACAAGTATAATTTTGCTGAAGACAAAAATCATTTGTGTCTCTACATTGTCAGAAATGCAAGCCAGATTCAGAAAAGGATGTTCATTGCTGATATCAGATGGATCTTGGCTGAAAGCAGATAATACCAGAAAGATGTTTCTTTGTGTGTCACTGACTTTGCAAAGGCATTCAAGGTAGAATTGACAGACTTCGTTATTTCAGGCATACCTCATTTTATTATGCTTTACTTTATTGCACCTCATAGATACTGTATATTTTTACAAATTGAAGGTTTGTGAAAATCTTGCATCAAACAAGTCAGTCAGCATCATTTTTCCAGCATGTGCTGACTTCATATTTTTGCAGCGCATTTTGGCAAGTCTCACAATATTTCAAACTCTGTGATAACATTACTGTGCAATGAATAGAATATAGGATAGTATAAAAATAACGTTTATATGCATTTGTTATTGTTAAGTGCTGTTGAGTCGGCTGTGACCCAAAGCTACCCTGTACTGGACACCCAAAAATACATGTGATTCACTTTATTGCAGTATTTGCTTTATGTTAGTGGTCTGGACCCAAACCAGCAATGTCTCTAAGGTATGCTTGTATATTGAAGATTTGTTGATACGGAGTCACAAATGACTTCAAGGTTTAGGGTTTGAGAAGCTAACAATGAAACTGGAGTTTCCTTTTATTGAAAATGCAAACAACTGCCAGAGGAATGGCTATGTATGTAAGTAGCAAGAGTTTCAGTTTAGATATGTTAACTTTTACATAACTTTTTGGCATCTCAGAGAAGAAATCCAATAGCCAGGAAACACAAGGGAGAAGTCAAAGGAGAGGTCAGAGATGGAACCATAAAATTTGAGAGTTTTCATCAAAAAGATAGTATTTAAATCCATGGACTAAGTGAGATTATCTAGGCCAGGGCTGAGGAACCTTTTTTCTGCCAAAATTTGTAACATTATTCATGGACCATACAAAATTATTCACTTAAAAACCAGCTTGCTGTATTTGATCAAACATTTAATTAACGCACACCTAGTGTGATGGCCTGTGCTTTATTGACTACACAAAGGCCTTCGATTGCGTGGGTCATGACAAGCTATGGACAACACTGTGAATTTTGAGTATTCCGGAACACTTAATTGTGATCATGAGGAATCTGTACCTTGACAAAGAGGCAGTTGTTTGAACAGAACATGGGAACACTGAATGTTTTAAAATTAAAAAAGGTGTGCGACAAGGTTGTATTCTTTCACCATACTTATTCAACCTGTATGCTGAGGAAATCATCCGAGAAGCTGTGTTCTATGAAGAAAAATGTGGCATCAGGATTGGAGGAAGACTCATGAACAACCTGCGATAATGCAGATACAACCTTGCTTGCTGAAAGTGAAGAGAACTTAAAATATTTACTGATGAAGATCAAAGAGTACAGCCTTCAGGATGGATTACATCTCAGTGTCAAGAGAAAAAAAAAAAATCCTCACCACTGAACCAATAAACAACATTCTTATCAATGGAGAAAAGATTGAAGTTGTCAAGGACTTCATTCTTCTTGGATCAACTATCAACACTCATGGAAGCAGCAATCAAGAAATCAAGTGACGTATTGCATTAGGAAAATCTGCTGCACAAGACCTTTTTAAAGTGTTGAAGAACAAAGATGTCAGCTTGAGGACTAAGTTTGTGCCTGACCTAAGCCATGGTATTTTCAGTAACCTCATATGCATGCGAAAGCTGGACAGTGAATAAGAATGACCCTAGAAGAATTGATGCTTTTGAGTTATGGTGTTGGAGGAGAATATTGAAAGTGTCATGCACTGCCAAAAGAACCAACAGATCCGTGTTGGAAGAAATGCAGCCCGAGTGCTCCTTGGAGGCCAAGATGGCCAAACTTCATCTCTCATACTTGGGCCATATTGACAGGTGGGACCAGTCGCTGGAGAAAGATATCATGTTTGCTAAGGTGGAGCATCAGAGAAAAAGATGAAGACCCCAATGAGATGGATCGGCCAAGTGGCAGCATCGATGAGACTCAAGTTTGGCGACAGTGGTGAGGTTTACCCAGGATCGGGCAGTGTCCCATTCTGTTGTGCATAAGGTTGCTATGGGTCGGTACTGACTTGATGGCACCTAACAACTACAACAACAGTGTGATGGCTCGTAGTCCTGGTGTGGCACTGTAGGATAAGCACTGGACCACAAACTGGTTCAAACCCACCAGCTGCTCCTCGGAAACCCTACTATATAAGGATCTCTGTGAGTTGCAGACGACTCGACACCACTTACAGCAACAACAATATGATGGCTGGAACTGCAAGTTGCTTTAAGCAGAGCCAGACCAAATGAGTTTGTGGGCCTTATACGGCCCTGACGCTTCCTACCCCTAATCTAGACAATAATTGTAGATTGTTGTTGATTACTATTCACTGCTGTCCAAATCATGACAACTACACATGTACAGAAGGAGCTCTGGTAGCGTAGTGGTTACGAATCGGGCTGCTAACCTCAAGGTTGGCAGTTCGAAACTACCAACTGTTCTGCGGGAGAAAGAGGAGGCTTTCTGCTCCCATAAAGATTTACAGCCTCAGAAACCCTGTGCAGGGTCATTATGATTAGGAACCGACTCCACGGTTCTTGACAACAACAACACATGTACAGAGTAGATCTGCTCCATAAGGTTTTCAACATTGTGAGCACTTGGAAGCAGATTGCCACGCCTGTCTTCTGAAGATGACTTGGTGGTTGTTGTTGGTGCTGCCCAGTCAGTTCTCAATCCCAGAAACCTTTTCTAGAGTTCCCAAGGAGTGGCTGGTAGGTTTGACTCGCCGACCCTGTGGTTCAAACTGAGCTTGCGGTCCAGTGCATTACCTTGTAGCACCACTCCAGGAATCTGAGGATGCCTTGAGGTGGGTTTAAACTTGGAACCTTTGTAGCAGTCAAGCACTTAATCACTGGCACCACCCAGGGACTCCAGAGATTGCCGAGATTCATTGAACTCTTCAATATCCTCTCTAAAGTTGTTTTTAAATGGTCTTCCCCAAATCCTATAAAGATCATTGCGCAAATTAAAACTAAACCATGAGAGAATGGAGATGATGGAGAGGAGATGATGCTATCACTATTTCTTTGATAGGATTCCATTTCAGCCTAGCTTTAAATACACTTATCCTGGATCTTATCTCATGGTCACAAACTCATAGTATAGAAACTATACCAAAAGTTCTTATTGTCACATGATTGAAGGTCCAGAATGTCCCCAGTAAGTCATCTCTTACCATCTTGTTTAGTCCAAAAATACACGGAAATAAAATTTGTATGGATGTGTACATTTTTAAAGGTATGTCTGTCTTCATTTATTTACTTTGTACAACATAATTTTGAAAAAGTTTAAAGCAACTGATTGTTTTATACCAAGGATAAAAAGTGAACTTTTCTTAACTAGTGTACAGAATATGAATTTCACTGCTTAAGTGATTTTTCTCTATGCGACTTCAACGTAAAATTCTTGTGTTGCTCTGCAGACAACCGCGTGGGCAACTGTTACCTGAAGTTTGGTCCTCGAGGTGACGGGAGTTTGTCTTGCAACACTGAGATCGGGGTGGGCGTCAGTCGCTCTTCTTGTTGCTGCTCTCTGGGGAAGGCCTGGGGAAATCCCTGTGAGACGTGCCCCCCTGTCAATAGCAGTAAGTATGAAGCTGGGAAAAGGAAGCAAACTCTGGGATGTAAAGACTAGATCTCATTTTATTCTTGTGCTGGAAGGCAGGGAAGTAGTGAAGGCAAAAATGAAATTTGGACCACTTTCAATGATTATGCTGAAGCCAGCCAAGAGTATTTGATATAAAAGGATTTTACATTCCTGGCTTATTTTTTTATGATATGACAAAACAGTTGTTTTGTTTTTTTTTTTTTAACCTCAGTCCAGTATGAATGATAGTACTAAATTCTCTATGGTATCAAAGATGAAGGTTATTCCTGGTTCTTCTCTGACACTGTTTAGTTCAAGTTCATACGTGTGTTGTATTCCTGAAGTCAGTCAGAAGGTCTCAGTATGAAACATCAGTACTTCCTGATGTGGATTCAAACCAAAACCTTTGTACTATAGAGCCCTTTACTTTTTACCTCCTAGCCAAAAAGCTAAGAAGCAAATTGTCGGTGAGGGATTTTTTTTTTTTTTTCTCTAATTGAAAACAAATGGTTTGGGGTATTCAACTGGGTATATAATTTATAAAGAAGTGAGCTTATTTCAAGTAAAATGTAGTAAGTATTACTTTAAATATATGTGAACAGACACTAAGGAAAATGTGAATATACCCCTTAGGTGGGGTGGCATATATTTGGATCCTGACAATAGCTAAGATCTTGTTTCTTGTCCCAGCCATTTAGACATAGTATAAAATCTCTGGTTTTCTGTTCTTTTGTAGCTGAATATTACACCCTATGCCCCGGAGGGGAAGGCTTCAGACCTAACCCCATTACAATCATCTTAGAAGGTGAGCTGTCATCCATATTTAAGCAAGGTAAAGGGTTTACGTTAGAGAAAAACTGATAGAAAACCTAGTATGGAACAATCCCATGAAGATGATTTAACAAAATTACAAATGGCCAATCAATTGCTGTGATGCTAAACAACAACTTTTATCTGAAGGTAATAATCCATTGCAGTAATCTCATGCCTGATTATTTTGCAGAGAAACATGCTTTAGAATTATCCCTCAAGTTGAGCCATCCCCTACTTGTATATTTCCAATACAAAGTCAATAAAATACACTGTGGAGATGGATAAGAGAGCATCGATAGCTTGATTTTAGATGTGTTAACTTTGAGATAACTATTAGATATCTAAGAAGAGAAATCAAATAGCCATGTGGCAGAAGCATCTAGAATTCAGGGGAGAGGTCAAAGATGGAACCATTAATTTGTGAATTCTCAGCAAAAAGATAGCATTTAAAATCATGGACTAAGTGAGGTGATAGGAAAAATAAATGTAGATGATTGTTGTCAGAAAAAAACCATTGACTGGTTTGCCTGGAGGCCTGTGGGCCTTAAAACATTGCATGTGTTAAAACACTAACAGTAACTCTTCTCTGTCATGATGATGTTTGTTGTAAGTGAGCTCCTCCTCCCTCTTCTAGACATTGATGAATGCCAGGAGTTACCAGGTCTCTGCCAGGGTGGAAACTGCATTAACACTTTTGGGAGCTTCCAGTGTGAGTGTCCGCAAGGGTACTACCTCAGTGAGGAAACGCGCATCTGTGAGGGTAAGGGAAAAATATACCTAATTGTATCAGCACTGTCCCAAACAAAAGGACCAGCCAGGCCTAGAGTAAAGGCCCTGTCCTCAGATTCTATCCAAGGATCTTTTGACATTACCTGGCTTTATTACTGTGTTCTGTTCATACCCATGCTGTTCAATAGTATGATAATGGAGAAATCATTTATAGCTCAATTGCTATAATTTTTTGTTATTTTGCTCTGAGTAAACAGGTTGGTAAAAAATAACTGGGGAAAAAACTGGAGTATTATAAAACCAAACAAATCAAGTATGTTAATTCAAATGTTGCTAAGAATTATATTTTGCATAAGAAAATAAGATTAAATGCAACAATTAAGTCAATATTATAGCAGCTTTTAAAGGTTTGCCTACAAAGTATGAAGAAGTTCCGTGGTTATTTGGACAATTTTTTTGTTTCCACCTCCCTACTTTTCATGTGAATATCATCATTAGAAACATCCCTTTAGGGATTAGACTGGTCTACCCACCAGACTGGGGATTCTTAAGGCAAGGTCCGTTATTTTTATAGCTCTAAGTTCTAGTATACAGATGATTCTCAATATTTATTTAATGAATAAATGAACAAATACTTCTATAATTGAACGTAAACCATATAACACAGTCATTTCTAATATATCATTTCTTTTGGAACATCTTAAGATAAATGGATATAAAAGAAATGAAATTTTATATAGCAGCCCACAGCTATGCTGCTACTAAACTCTAAATAGTTACTAATTTGAAAGGAGGTTACAAAGGTAAAGGAGTTCTGGTGTGGCACTGTAGGAAAAGCATTGGAAGATCAGCAGTTCAAACCCCCAGCCACTCCTCGGAAACCCTATGCAGGGTTTCTATGAGTCACAATTGATTCAACAGCAACACAAAGGTATCAATGGCCACTTTAAAGTTAGCATTAAATTTTAGATTAAAGGACATGAGGAATGATTTAAAAGCATTTTCATATGAGGAATATGACATTTCAATAAAAATGACGACATTTAAATTAAGTTGTATCATTTTGAGAATTTCTTCTCACCGTTTTTATTTTGAAACAATGGGAGTTTTCTCTTTTAAAGACACAGTCTGTGCCATATAGATGAAGGCAGTCTCCTATGTTACAGACATTCAACTCTGGACAGCTCAGCTTGCCCTTTCCTGTTCTGTGAAGTGGCCGTCACTCTGAAACCATTGAACCAACCCGTACTCTGAACACATTCTTCATCATTCACCTTTACTTGCTACATGGGCAGCTTTTAAATCCTTTTCTGACACCAAAGGAAGGCAAAATAAGAACTGTATGCAGCTGTTGCGACTTAGGAATATATCTCATTGGTACCCTGGGTGGTGGTGGTGGTTGTTAAGTGCCGTCGAGTCGGTTCCAACACATAGTGACCCTGTATAGGGTTTCCAAGGAGTGACTGGTGAACTTGAACCCCTGACCTTGTGGTTCAAATCAACTTTACAGTCCACCACATTAACCCACAGCACCACACCAGGACTCCGTACCCTGGGTAGGGGTGGGTATTATTATATAATTGCTTAAAATAGTAAATTTTGTATAAATAGCATGAATATCGATATTCACCTTTAACACCACTTTGTTTCACAATTTAAATGTGATAACCTCATTGAAAAAATGTCTTTATTAATGAATATTCTTGCCTACTGTAGATATTGATGAGTGTTTTGCACATCCTGGTGTATGTGGGCCAGGGACCTGCTACAACACCCTGGGAAATTACACCTGCATTTGCCCACCTGAATACATGCAAGTTAATGGAGGCCACAATTGCATGGGTAAGTGGAGTTCTATGAGATGAATAATGTCTCAGTTGATTTACCACCTAAGGCATGTGGTCTTGGTATTATTATTCAGAAAGTTTGGAAATTCAATACTGATGGTTGATGAGGAATTTCAGACCAGTGTGTACATCTAGGAGTCCTAATGATGCAGTAGTTAAGAACGCAACTGCTAACCAACCAGTCAGTGGGAGAAAGATGGGGGCAGTCTACTTCCATAAAGGTTTTGTTGTTAAATTGCTAACCAGTTGGTTCCAACTCGTAACAACCCCGTATAGGGCTTCTGAGGAGATGGTGGGGTCAGTCTGCCGAACTTGTATTTAGCACTCCAGTGTTATTCTATAGCACCACACCAGGACCCCTCCATATACATTACAGTCTGGGAAACCCTTCAGGGCAGTTTAACTCTGTGGTGATGTGGGATAGGCACTTGACCTCAAGGTCGGTTTGAACCACAAGGTCAGTGGTACAGGCTTACCAACAGCTCCTTTGAGACGACACTATACAGGGTTGCTGAGTGGCAACTGACTTATAACGGCACTTAACAACAACAAATAGGGTCATTATGAGTCTGAGCTGACTCAACAGCAGTGGGATTTGTAAACCTCTGGGTCTGTATCATGTTTTTATGAGTTGGAGCAAGCTCCACAACACATCACCACTGTACACTTAAAGCATTTCAAAAAGCACAAGTCTAAAGTGGAATAGTTAATCAGCGACTGCAGTGGTATTTCTTAATTTTTTTTCCCCGTTTATATAAAGTTATATCATTATTACAAATGAGAATACTTTCATTTTAATGCTTAATACTTCTTAAAGTAAGTAAATGCCGTTGAGTAGAGAAACGTATATAAGTTTTGTTTTCCAAGAAAATTAAATAATATTTCTTGTCTAAAAACAGAAGAGATGTTAATCTACAAATGAGTTAGGTTTAACTATGATACTTCCAAATGATTCGCACATTTTTTAGGATGATGTTAATTACCAAGTTTGGTGTCTACAGATGTGGGGTTAATTATTAGCTGTGCACTTAGGTGACTGGTTAGCTTATTTGTCTTTGTACACATAGACATGAGAAAAAGCTTTTGCTACAGAAGCTATAATGGAACCACTTGTGAGAATGAATTGCCTTTTAATGTGACGAAGAGAATGTGCTGCTGTACATATAATGTGGGCAAAGCCTGGAACAAACCTTGTGAACCATGTCCAACACCAGGAACAGGTAAGCACACAGCTCATACAGCGATACAAATAAACATAGATTATATGTGTATGTGATAGTATATATAGAAATATATGTGTGTATATTGATATGTATACATATATATGAAGTCCTGGTGTGGCACTGTGGGTTAATATGCAGAATTGCAAAATCAGTTTGAACCGTAAGACCAGTGGTTCAAGTTCACTAGTTGATCCTGGGAAACCCTATACAGTGTCACTATGGATCTGAACCAACTCAACAGCACATAATGACAGTAGTATGTATATATATACACACACACACACACAAAAGTTCATGGAAAAATAGAATTAAAAGATATTGGAATTTGTCCATGCATTTTTGGAAGCCCCTTGTATATATATCACTGTATAGTATAATAGCAATATAGTAAAAGTAAGTATGTGCTAAAACCAGAGAGGCCTAATTCTAAGAACATCCAGGATCAGCATTGTGGCTCAGTTTCTCAATTAGCTCTCTTTGAGGTTCAGACATTAATCTTGAGACATCTGGTTGTGATCATAGGCTCAAAGAGTTGTAGTTTACAGTATTGGTCTATTTAAACTCCTTATCTAAATTATGTTGGCCAATTATTCATTGAATCGTAGAAAAAATATTTGTTGAGCAGTTACTACGTGCCAGGCACTCAGCAAGACTTGGACTACCACACACTTTGATAAAAATGCGTGGTAATCAGAAGGCCATGAACTTAAGAATTGAAAGACTTGGAATCAATTAGTCCAGTAGACTAATGGAACATAAGAACACCAGTCTCCACAACTCTGAGACCAGAACTGGATGCTGTCCACTACCAACTGCTTTGATAGGGATCACATTAGAGGGTCCTGGATAGAATGACAGCAATGTAAAACAAAACTAAAAATTAGTTAAAAAATAATAATAATGAAAGACTGGGTTTAGTGGTCAGAAAGAGACAAGGAACCTGAGACTATATGGCCTTCAAACATACTCAGGTCTGGAAGGGAATTCACCCTCGTGGCCCACTTTTCAACCAAGCAGTACATCAAGTGTGATTACCATGGAATGGTTAATCATTCAAAATCAAAACAGCAACATTTTCCTAAGGACAAAGTGGAGGAGGGATGGAAATGTGGGTGGAATACAAATAGGAAACTGGGAGGAAGCAGGATAATTGTTGCCTGGAAGGGAATGTAATCACTGAGATGAAACGTATATGATTTGTTGAATGTAAAGCTGATGATCTTGTCTGTAAACCATCATGCAATGCACAATAAAAAGTAAAAAAAAAAAAAAAAAACACATCAATTTCAGTATGTTTTAGTTCAACCTTGAAAAATACACCTCTGCATCTCCCCCCCAAAAAAGTGCCCTTGATCAAACTGTACATAAAAGCAATATATATTAGAGGACTTTCAATAATTCATAGAAACAATAGCATTAAAAGATAATAGAATTTTCCCATGAACTTTTTTAAGCCCCGTCATATGTCAAAGGGAGTTCTTTATGAATCCATCCCTTCATGCTCTTCAGAACTTTCTAGATAGAAATTGTCTAGATAAAGAATTTGTCTTTATATGGTCATATTTTTCTCACCAACAGAGATTCTTTTGAAAGACAGTACAAATGAGAACAAAATTGTTAACTATATAACTATGTAATTGTATAACTATATTTGTTAGCCCTCAGGTTCTTTAATGACCTAAAAACAGGCTTTTTTTTTACTAGCTGTAGATGCTAAAAGATGAAACATCATTGTTGTTAACTGCTGTTTATTGGGTTTGGACTCATAGTGACCCTGTATAGGGTTTCCAAGGAGCAGCTGGAACCACCACCTTGCAGTTCAAATTGACCTTGTGGTCCAGTGCTTATCTTACAGCACCACACCAAGACCATTAGATGAACCATTAAGATGCTTAAAAGCTGAGTTTATATATTATAAAAATATTTAGGGCACATGTACTTAAATGTTTATTTAATGTGATATTTAGATGAAGTTAAGGACAGTGATGATGAACACTTGGGGCCTTTCTCAATGGTTCAATAGTCAGATGGATGTCATTAACTCTATATGCCCCAGTTAAGCTCCTTAAAATTAAAAATAATTTCATGATTCTCTAACTTTAAAACTGTGTAAGTCAGCAATTGACAATCAGTGGGTTGGTAGATTAAATATAAAAATTATTTTTGAGAGGAAGGTGTGGAGGGTTTTGGGTTGAAACACAGATCTGGATTTAAATAGAAGCTCTGCTCCATGGTTTATTGTGTGACTCTAGGTGACTAAGGACCTCTGGTAGCATAGTGGTTACATATCGGGCTGCAAACCTTAAGGTCAGCAGTTCGAAATTACCAGCTATTCCGCTGGAGAAAGATGAGGCTTTCTGCTCCTGTAAAGATTTATAGCCTCGGAAACCCTGTACAGGGTTGCTATGAGTCGGTTCCAACTCCATGGCACATAACGAACCCTAACATAGGTTACTATCCTTTCTGAAAAACTCACTCACAAAATAGCCTTAATAATAAATCACAACTGATTAATTCATCTGGATTCCAGGTATGACACTGTAGGACAAGCTCTGAACTGTGAGCCAAAAAGTCAGTGATTCAGACACACCAGCTGTTCTTCAGAAATCCTGTACGTGGTCACTATGAGTTAGAATTGACTCGACAGCACTTACCGACAACAAGAATTCATTTGGTTGTATTGATTAAATGAGATGATAGAAGTCAATTATAATGTGCACACTGCCTAACAGGGTAGCATCAAGTTGCTTTGACTCATAGCAGCTCTACAGACAACAGAAGGGAACACTGCCTAGTGTGGGATTGTATGTTTGAGTCCCTTGTCACTGTCAGTATAGGTGATTAGAAACCATTGGTGTGGGGGCTGGATAGTAGTGAGGAGAATGAGGGTCAGGGTTAAGACTATGGCTAGGTCTTGGCTAGGTCTAGACTTTCATTTATTCTTAGGATTATGGTGAAGACTATAGTTAGTGTTAGAGGTAACGTTTAGGCTAGGGCTAGGGGTAAGGTGTGGTCTAATTTTGAGGGTTACAGTTAGGTTTATTTGTTTTTTTCTTTAAATCTATTTGATTTTGTCTTCATTTGGAAGATCTGTAACTGGATGATTCTCTCTTTGCTTTTTTGTTGGTGGTGTTGTCATTACCATCTCTCTCTCTGGCTCTCTCTTTACTTCATGTATTTCTATATCTGGGTTGATTCTAGGTGATGTCTTCATGCATGTCAGTCTCAGGTGTTCTCTGTTGTTGATTCTCTCTGTCCACATAACTCCCTTAGTGTTTTTTGTGAGATTGCTCTGTTTTTTACAAATTCTCCCAATTTCTGTGTGTCTGTAAATGACCTAATTTCACCATCATATTTGATGGACAGGTTTTCTGGATCTATGGTTCTTAGTTGGCAATTTGTTTCTTTCGGGGTTTCATATATATGTCTATCTGTTGTCTTCCTGCCTGCCTGGTCTCTGAGAAATCAGAGATTAGTCTTATTAGTTCTCTTTGTAAGTAATTTTTCTCTTTTTCCTGAGCTGCTTTCAGGATTCTATGGTTTTGAGAAGTGTAATTTTAATACATCTTGCTGTTTTTATTTTGGGGGTCTCTCCTGCTTGAAATTCATTCTGCTTCTTGAATGACTATCTTCTCATCTTTCATTGCTGTTAAGGACGTTTTCTTCCAACAAGTCTTAGACAGTGTTCTATGGGTTTGTTGTGTGTGTGTGTGTGTGTGTGTGTGTGTTTGAGGGGTAGGGTTTGTCTCTTCCTGTTATGGCATTCCTCACAATTAAGGTATATCTTTTGATAGTGTCCCATATAAATGTAGCCTTTCTTCAGATTTTATTTATTTATTTTTTTGGTGGGGGGAGCTTATTTCTGATTGTTTCTTTTTGTTGTTGTTAAGAGCTATATAGATTCAGTTCTCACCCATAGCAACCCTGCATAGGGTTTCCAAGGAGCAGCTAGAGAGTCTGAACTACTGACCGACCTTTCAGACAAGTACTTTTCCTTCAAGCTCAGTAATTCGGCTCCCCCTACTGATTCAATTTTATTTCTTTGCCCTCTCCATGTATTATCTATTTCTGAAGCGTTAGTATTAATCTTCTGGCTTTCTAATCACTTATTTTGTATGATTCCCATTTTTAAAATTAATTTGTCAATTTGTTTCCTGATATTTTTCAGAGTTTTATCTATGGTTTCTTTTATTTAATCTGGAACTTTTTTGTTGTTGTTTTTTGTTTTTATCTTTCTTTCAATCCATTGAAGTTGCCTAATTAGCATTCTTTTAAATTCCTTATCAGGTAGTTTTGATACCATTCCTGGTGTATTTTGGTGATGTGTTTGAGGCACTCTGTCTGGTTTCTTTATGTAAATTGAAATTGATTGTTTTCTCTAAGGTTTTGTGGTATTGTATTTATGTTTAGTCGATGGCTTGTGTATTGCTGTGTTCTCAGGCACTCACCCACCTGTCTCCTTGTGGATGTGGCAGAGACTGGAAGTGTGAATGCAGTTGTTAGTTCTCTGTTCGCTGTTTGTGTAGCATAGTTCAGGGTGAGTTCACTCACCTCCCAGGAGCAGGGAAGCAATACCCAGCACCTGACCTCAGGCAAAGCAAAGGCTGTGCAAGAGGAGGTGCCACTGGCTTCTGAGTTGGTAAGGATAGGGACTGTTAGTATCCCCGTCTACTAGGAGAGAATGGGAAAGGAACAAGGGAGAACTGACTACCTAGCTGCCACCCTTCATCTGCATCCTGTGTCCATGGGCTGCTGTATCAACAGTTGGTCACAGAAACTTAAGATAGCCACACTGTTCCACACCAGCCCAGAGAACACATGTTTTCCTTCTGTCTCACTAGTCCTGTTCAGCTTCCTCTTCCAGTCTTCACTCAAACCAATCTCTGTCCTATCCTCTGATGTTTGGGGTCTCAGAATCACCATCTGTATCTCTTTTACTCATCTCCCATGTATTTGTTGCAGAAGCTCAGCTTATTGTATTTGCTTACTCCATCATCTTACCCAGACCTTACAAATACTTCTTCAGTACCTACTATTATCTGTTCTGGATGCTCGGTGTGTTTTGATAAATAAAATATACAAAAATCCCTGTCTTCATAAGCACTTTGAGCATAATACTCTGTCCTGTGTTCACAAGTTTTTCTCATGTGTAACAATTAACATCCAAAGCTACCATTTTATTTCTTGCAAATCAGAATTCTTTCAAATTTCCATTGGTTTGGTTAAAGTTAGGTTTAGGTAGTAGTAACTCTTAACAGTTTCTCTTTTACTCTATGATGAAATGCTTTGCTGTTGTTATTGTTAAGTGTCATCGAGGCGGTTCTGACCCACTGTAACCCTGTATAGAGTTTCCGAGGAGCAGCTGGTAAGCTTGAACCACCAACCTTGCAGATCAAGCTGACTTTGCAATCCAGTGCATTAACTCACAACAAAATGTTTAGGATGCCTCAACTGTCACATTTTCATGATCAAATTTTATAATTAAGACAGACGAAACTCACCTCTCATTCACTATTCATTGTTAAAGTGCTTTGCACTATGAGATTGTTTTTACATGCATATGCCTTTGTACAATCCATAAAATTAATTTTTACTGTAGCCTGTCTTTTCATTTAAGTTTGGCATACCATAAAACATTTTAATGTCTAAGTAGATATTTTTGACTCTTGTAATGGATTACTTACCTTCTAATGTCAACATTAAAAATAACAATAATAATAATAAATGCCTAGTTAGCCCCTCTTTACAGAAGCTAGCACCATTATTGAATAAATAGAATAAAAATTTAAATATCGGGTTGTGACTAATATAAAAATCTTCTTTATCAGCAAAAGTACCACTCTATAAAATTCCATTTGAAGAGTTTGAGAATTTTAAAATGCATTTGCCTTTTTTATATTTTTAAGCTGACTTTAAAACCATATGTGGAAATATTCCTGGATTCACCTTTGATATTCATACAGGAAAAGCTGTTGGTGAGTTTTTGCAGATTATGTCTGTTTTAGTGTCTATACATAGCATTTTGTAAAAATCTATTCAGTGTTTCAAAAATGCAAGTGTACTACAAAAAAATACTTGTCTGAAAGAGAACTAAGACACTTAAGATTCTAACTAAGTATTGGTTATACTTGATATTATTGGTAGTATTCCATTAGCTTAACCTGTGGATTGAATTATAATAATTACATGACAATGTTAAGATTTTATACATACAAGCTAAAACTTTAATATTCTTTTTCATACATAGTCTATTATTAAAAAGTCACTTGATTAGCCTTTAGTTGCTATTCTCATACATATGTTTTTAAGTTTTTGGTGTCTTTTCACAGTGCCCCTTTTTTACTGGCCTAATTATGAACATTCAGAATTATCATTTTTATAAATTCTTTCTGAATGTACATTTTATTGTTCACGCTACTTGTTTCTTCCTTAAAGAATCAGTAAACAATATAATTTTTAAGTCTTCAATTATCAGTGCAAACATAATAAAATACAGAACATTAAGAAAGCTCGCTTTCATTGTCAGATGAATAGTGATAATATGGTAGTCTTGGCAAGTAACTTCAAGAAGTGGTTTATTCCTAGGAAGTTCATTTGCTACACTGACACTTACGTAATTTGATATAGTTTATTGGCCACTTAAATTTTTCTGTCACTCTAGATAGGAATGAACCTATGGTTTCTGCTTCCATAAACAACAGAATCATTTATACCAGCTTATAGGTGTATTTTTTGCGGCACGGAATGTGTCTTCTCAGTCACAGAATTAATTCTCAAAGTTATATGGTAAATACATTAAGCAAAACCACATATATCTGATCAAATCTGTTCAATTTCAGACATTGATGAATGTAAAGAGATCCCAGGCATTTGTGCAAATGGTGTGTGCATTAACCAGATTGGCAGCTTCCGCTGTGAATGTCCTACAGGATTCAGTTACAATGACTTGCTCTTAGTATGTGAAGGTAATCTGAATCAACTGTGTCCCTGATCCTAAAAAGCTGGGCATACATACATTGGTTAAAGACTGTTTGGGATGTTTACTATTTAGGAGTTGGTCATCAAAGTGGGTAAGCTAATGTAATCCTAATGCAATACTGAACAACTTTCAAGAATGTAACTGCTGCTTTTTCAGACATTGATGAGTGCAGCAATGGTGATAATCTCTGCCAGCGAAACGCAGACTGCATCAACAGTCCCGGCAGTTACCGTTGTGAATGTGCTGCAGGGTTCAAGCTTTCACCCAACGGGGCCTGTGTAGGTAAGAAATGAACCAACTCATTCAGATTTCCTATGTGTCTATGAAAATGTTGTGTTATATATATTTTATCACAATTGAAAAAAAAAAAAGACATGCCTTTGCCTTGCTATATGTATAGGGTCTCGATGAGTCGGTACTGACTTGATGGCACCTAACAACAATAACATGCTTTGCTGAGACCTTGTGTGGCCCTGTAGGATAAGTACTGGACTGCTAACCACAAGGTTGGCATTTCAGACCCACCAAACGCTCCTTGGAAACTCTATACAGAATCACTATGAGTCAACCAACTTGACGGCACAAAACAACATGCTTTGCTATCAGAAATCATTTTCAGACTATAATTTGAAAAAGTATTGTAACTAAATGTATCTAGTCATATTGAACCTATTTCAACACATTCTTTAGATAATTATATTTTTAAAAAAGGAGGTCTCTCAAATGGATTTTCTTTAGATGGGACTTAAAATATTGTCCTTGAGATAGCAATCAAAACATAAAAATTTCATGATTACAAAAAAAAGGAGAGAGAGATTTAGATGCTTTAAAGCCTTGCTTATTTTGATCCAGCTGTTGTTATGGTTCATTTTTGGTCTGTCTTTAATAATTAATAGCAGATTATAGAAACATGTCTGTGAAAAATTAAAGAATCTTAATAAAAAACAGCTATGTGTAACATGTGTTTTATTTTTTTTGTTGTTTTAGATCGCAACGAATGTTTAGAAATTCCTAATGTTTGCAGTCATGGCTTGTGTGTTGATTTGCAAGGAAGTTACCAGTGTATCTGCCACAATGGGTTTAAGGCTTCCCAGGACCAGACCATGTGCATGGGTAAGGACATTCGATTCTAGGGACTGAAACGGAGCTGAGACTCTAGAATAATATTCATTCCATCTCTGTCTGAGACAATTCTGCAAGAATTTCGCTATGTTAAACTGTCGAAGGTGTTATTCAATGCAAAATGTGATCACAGGAACATACCACATTGTGGTCTTCAGTTCAGGGTTTCCCAAATTTTTTGCCCCAAATGACTTTGACATGTTTGACATGCACTCTGGGACACTTGGGGTTCTGTAGTGCCAGCTGCCCAGTACCCTTTTAGGTCCCCATTTAAAACAGTATTTGGGCTTACAAGTTAGTAGTAAGAATAATAGTACTGAAATGGATGCCTATATGTTGTTTACACAAATCATTGAATACATAGAATTTTCCTATAGCTTTAATGTTTTATCTCTTAAAAATAATTAGAAGGAAATATGTCAAAACTGATTGAAAATGCACAGTAATGTAACAGTTTAAACCAAATAAAACCCACTGCAATGAAAGCAATAATAAGCCAGTAACCAGTTTCATCAAGTTGATTCTGACTCTTGTCCATACTATGTGTGTCACAGTAGAATTGCATTCCATAGGTTTTCAGTGGAGTGTTGATGTTGTTGTGCCATTGAGTCAGTTCACAAATTTGCAACAGGTTCTCAAGAGCAGCTGGTGCTCAGTTAATGCTTGATGAGCTATTGATTAATAAGATTTGGAAGGAGATGGACTTGGGGCTGGGACCAAGCATAACTCATTAAATCTGATGTCAACAATGAGCTCTGCCTCTGCTAAGGGACTTCTCTGTGCATTACACATGAAGGGTGAAAATTGAATTGAACACTTGGCTGTTTGTAATTCCACACTTCGATTAACAGTTGAAATGTGGAATGTACAAAGTATGAATCTAGAAAAATTGGAAGTTGAAAAATGAAATGTAATGAAGTTAAGATTGATATTCTAGACATTTGTGAACTGAAATGCACTGGTATTGGCCAGATTGAATCTAAAAGTCCTGTGGGTTACTATAATGGGAACAGCACATTCAAGAGGAATGGTATTGCATTCATCAAAAAGAACTTAATCAAGATCTGTCTTGAAGTACAATGCTGTCTGATATAGGCAGGATAATACCCATCCTGACGTGGTGCTATAGGATTAGCACTAGATTGAGAACCCCACGAAGTTTGCAGTTCAAACCTTTCTGCTGCTCCTTGGAAACCTATTACAGGGTTGCTATGAATCAGAACCAACTTGATAGCACTTAACAACAACAAGAAAGACAAGTTAACACCACTATTATTCAGATTTACTCACCAAACATTAAAGTCAATGATGATGACATTGAAGAATTCTACCAACTTCTTTAGTCTGAAATCATCAAACATGTAATCAAGATGCATTGATAATTATTGGTGATTAGAATGTGAAAATTGGAAGCAAAGAGGAATGATCAGTATTTGGAAAATATGTCCTTGGTGATAGAAATGATGCTGGAAATGCATGATAGAATTTTGCAAGACCAATGACTTCTTCATTGCAAATATCTTTTTAAAACATAAAAGTCTTAAAATAACTTTTTAAAACATAAAAGGTTTATACACATGGACTTCAACAGTTGAAATACACAGAAATCAAATTGACTACATCTGTGGGAAGAGATGGTGGAGAAGCTCAATATCATCAGCCAAAACAAGGTCACGGGCAGACTGGAACATACCATCAAATGAGCTCATATGCAAGTTTAGTCTGAAGCTGAAGAAAATTAAAACAAGTCCATGAGAGCCAAAATATGAAATTGAATAGATCCTATCTGAATTTAGAAACCGTCTCTGGAACAGATTTGATGCATTAGATACTAATGACCAAAGACCAGAAAAGTTGTGGGATGACATCAAGAAAGGAAGAAAACAAAAGGTCATTAAAAAGACAGAAAATACTAAAATTGGATGTCAGAAGAGACTCTGAAACTTGCTTTTGAGTGTAGAGATGCTAAAATGAATGGAAGAAATTAAGTAAAAGAGCTGAACAGAAACATTCAAAGGACAGCTCTAAAAGACAAAGTCAAGTACTGTACTAAAATGTAACAAGATGGACTGACATAGTGGCAGCAGCAGTGGACTCAAATATAACAAGTGTGAGGATGGCGTAGGACTGGGCAGTGTTTTGTTCTGTTGTGCAAAAGGTTGCTGTGAGTCGGAACCAACTTGACAGTCCCTAACAATGTATAATTACCATGTTCTCCATGTACAACAAGTTAGGACTGAACATCTACTTTTCTTTTGTTGTACACACCGACAGCAACATTATCAAAACATTTTCTTAGAATAAATCTTACAATTTTTTCTTCCTACATATTTCATATTATATATATTTTGACTTAAAAAACAAAACCCCCAAAAAACAAAAAAACACCAGAATAAACATTGCAAACAATAACAACTTTTTTAAACTACCAGTAGTTCCCTACCCACAACACTCAAAAATAAGGATCATTGAGTGGCTAGAATCCTTCAAGCTGTTTTTATTAATAGCATATTCTTCAGTTATGCAGAAATAAAGTATAAAATGTGTGACCACCCATTGGGATCGAGTTGTTACTAATGTGCTAACAGTTGAATTATGTAACTTGTCTTTGTAAGATTTTTTAAATTGTGTTGTTCATTACTTCTGACTAGTTGGTTTATGAGGTAAATCTCCAGCAATACCTTTTTAAATCTTCTTAAGAGTATTTCACAGATGTTCATTTATTTTTATTCTTTCTACTTGCCCAGTTCACATTTTATTATTAGAAAGCAGAACAAACACTGATGAAAATGATGGAAATATTTTCTGTGTTGAAAATTGGTAATATGTTAGGTTTAACAGAAACCAACTCGCTACAGCAAATGCCTTTTGACTGATCCCCTAACTTATGTGAAAATCCAAATTCAAACTCAGTGGGTTGTAGGTAATAGGATTTACGTGCTCTTATTTTTACAAATATTCATTGCCTAGTTACTTAAATCCCTGGAGGTGAGGGCTTCAAATAGTAGTAAAGATACTAGCTATATAAATAATTAAGTTCTACAGATTTCACTACTACAGCACTAATTTCCTTTGTGACATTCCCCTATACAACAAGGAACACATAGAGAACTTAGTTGAGCCATTTGCAGCTTAAGATTTTCCCCTTTGACTTTTGCTACGATGATAGGAGAAGGGATAATTGTCCATTGTGGCACTGTGGGTTAATGCATTGGACTGTAAGGTCAGTTGGAACCACAAGGTCAACGGTTCAAGCTCACCAGCCGCTCCTCAAAAACCCTATACGGAGACCCTATGAGTTGGAACCAACTCTGTGGCACTTAAGAACAACATTGGTGGAGGAGTCCTGCTATAGGGCTGTTGGATAAGCACTGTCCCACTAACCATGAGGTCAGCAGTTCAAACCCATCATCCACTCCTTGGAAACCTTATACAGACAGGGTCGCTATGAGTCGAAACCAACTTGAAGGCACGTACCAACAACAAATATGTTTGTTGGAAGGGAAACAGCATCTGACTCTGTTTATGTGAATTTTCTAAGAATGCCTGTTTGTACATGCTTTTCTTATCTACATTCTCTGAGATGGAGTATAATTTGTGAAAAAAAACAAAACAAAAAAATCAGAAATTTATGGTACTGAAATTCACATGTAGAAAATCTACCCAAATCATAACAATTCTTCATGATAAAAGTCAGTCAAATGTTTTGATAACACCTCTCTTAAACTGTGCTTCCTTTCTAAGGAATGCTGTTGTTGTTGTTAAGAGCCATCGAGTCAGTTCCGACCCATAGCGACCCTGTATAGGGTTTCCAAGGAGCAGCTGGTGAGCTTGAACCACCGACCTTGCAGTTCAAACAGCTTTACAGTCTGGTGCGTTAACCCACAGCACCACAATTTTGACCCCGCTGTATAGTTTTCAGCAACCTGCAAATTTTAGTTTGTCTGCTCTCTCATATATTTTAAATATTTTCTAAAGTATTTTAGAAGGCTAATAATATTGAGTTCTAATAAACTTCTCATTTAGAGTCTTCTAAGTCCTGGCACTGTAGGATAAGCACAGGACCACAAGGTCTTTTTGAACTATAAAGTCATCGGTACAGACTCGTCAGTCGCTTCTCAGAAACCCTGTACAGAGAGTCACTTTTATAAGTCAGAACCGACTCAGAAGTACTTAACAATACCAAGTCATAACACTAAGAAAATTAGAATTTATCTTTGTTTTGCTAATCAAATTGATGGAGGTAAATTTCTAAAGGAGTGTCTATAGTGATTAATAGCAAAAAAAAATGGTTTTAGTGTTTCAGAAGATGGGTTTTCTTACGGTGGGCAAGTGATCATGTTCATTAAAATATCTCCTTCTAAGGTGATACTTATTAGCCTAGTTCTGCATACCGTTTCGTGCATGACTAAGTAACTTGTACTTATAATTGTTTTATTTGAATTTTTAGGTAACTCATAATTATTGTCCTCAAATAAAAGTGAATTTCTAGAATTCCACAAGACAAATCTAGTATCAATGCTAAAAAAAAAACAACAACAATAATATGTATATAAACAGTTAACATAGACTTGAGTTTCTGATTTAATTCCTTTGAGCCAATGTGTCTTTACAGATGTTGACGAGTGTGAGAGGCATCCATGTGGAAATGGAACTTGTAAAAACACCGTTGGATCCTATAACTGTCTTTGCTACCCTGGGTTTGAACTCACTCATAATAATGATTGCCTGGGTAAGTAATTCAGTCAGTTCTGGGTTGCTCTATTTTATGTTCACACAATAAAACAGTCAAACTGAAAAACAAAAGATACATTTCTCAGTAAACTTAAAAACTGCTTTACAATATTGTTTTAAATTATTTCACTTGTATTATATATTTTATTATGAAATTTGCAAGTGTATGACAAAAGGTATGCTATATAGATGTTGTTGTTGCTAGGTGCAATTGAGTTGGTACCAATTCATTGTGACCCTATGCACAACAGAATGAAACACTTCCACTCCCAAGCCAATTTCACTTGAGCCCATTGATGCTGCCACTTTGCCAATCCGTTTCGCTGGGGGTCTTCCTCTTTTTCTCTGACCCTCCACCTTACCAAACATGATATCCTTCTCCAGGGACTGGTCCCTCCTGACAATATGTCTGAAGTATGAGAGATGAAGTTTAGCCTTCCTGGCCTCCAACAAGCAAACTCTAGCTGCACTTCTTCCAACACAGACCTGTTTGTTCTTTTGGCAGCCCATGGTACTTTTAATATATAGATAGCATTGAGTAATTAAAGCCAGGGCTCTTGGTGTGGCACTGGAGGATGAGCCACTGGACTGCAAACCACAAGGTTGGGGGGTCAGACTCACCAGCTGCTCCTCTGAAATGCTATACATGGTTGCTGTGAGTCAGGACCGACTTAATAGCAATTAACAGCTACAATTAAAGTCATAGTATTAGACTAAATGCTCACAAAAATAGTTTGCTATATTCAACGCTTTTGTTAATTAATTCAGTTGAAAAGATGTGTCAGATTATAGTTATTTTATTGGGGCTACTTTGTGATTCAGGGTATTTTTCCTTCTTAGATGGCATCAAAGGTAGATCAGTCTTTGTTTCAGTGATATTTACAAACATCTCATGTAGATTTATTTTTGTTTTATATTCAAATAATACTGGAAGTTTACAACTTATGAATGTGTTGTCTTGGAAATTCATATTAAATTAGATTTTGGAGCCAGGGGTGACTTTTTCCACAAAAACATTGCATGGTGAGATTTCCAAGTCAGTGCTCAGAAACCTATTTGTAAATTTGCATAGGAAAATAACACTGTCTCCGAATCATTCAAGGTTTTAACCTTTGCCCCACACTAACATACACATGATTGAAATGAGAATGAATGCGACGGGTTCCTGAAGTTCATAGAGAACATCATAAGAGAGGTGAAACAAGTGCACAGTTATTTCTTGTTTGCCAAGGTGCCAGGCACTTTGCTAGATGCTTTACAGTTTTAATTTCTTTTAGTGTATGTGATTCAGTGACTCACATGAAAGTAAATCAGATTTTCAACCACTGTGGGTCCTTTATAGCCACTCTATCTTCAAGTTTAATCCAACAGGTGTGCTTCCCAGTACATTCTTTATGCTTCACAGTTCTGTAGATGTGAAAAATGTTCAGTTGGACATTTTATTCTACCATCACCTTGTTGGCTGTTGTCTCTCAGATGCCTTGTATAGTCAGATACAAATACACCTCTGGTCAAAGTACAGCCTCCATACAACCCAGAAAATTACTCATATATAATTCGCCCTAAACTTAACTGAGCATCTAATCCCCTTTGTTTTCAAATCTGTACTGTCAGCAAAATATGAATCTAGAACTTTTAAAAGTATAATTGACCCTTCTGTTTTTAATATTTTTGGTTATTTTTTTAATATATTCAGTCTATCTCCAAGTAATCTGCAAACTAGGCAATCACTTTAAATCCCATATTATCCCTTGCCTCTGGGAAAAGATATTTTTTTCAGCTGTAAGGAATGGAAAACATGACCTTACACCATCCACTTTACTTTGTTGCAAATAGATGTTATGTTAATATCAGAAAGGTGTTTGAAAACAGTGGTGTTCTAGGTGCCTTTATTAGTTACATGATCTAAATGTGTTCATGAGGAACTGTCATATAAGTTTTTTGCCAGTGCACACCAATAAACATGTTTTCATGTTGAAAGTTGTGAAGCAATGTCACACAAGAGCACTCTCTGAAAAGCGTCCTCTTATTTACAGATATAGATGAGTGCAGTTCCTTCTTTGGTCAAGTATGCAGAAATGGACGGTGTTTTAATGAAATTGGCTCTTTCAAGTGTTTGTGTAATGAAGGTTATGAACTTACTCCAGATGGCAAAAACTGTATAGGTGAGTAAATAAAAAACAATATTGACTTAAAGAATGAATATGGAGAGGGCGGCTTAGGTTAGTTTTGTTAAATAATAATGAGAATCATCCCATTAGGGATTCATTCACATTTCATTTGGTCATCAGACTATATACCCTAGACAAGGTTTGAGAATAATTTTGGTACAAGGTATACATCATGAGCTAACGTTTGGAATGGTTCACAGGTGTATTTCTACCAAGGACAGAACTTGAGTAGATGCATGTCTCAACAAAAGATGGCAAAGGACACAAATCAAGAAAAGTGACCTTTTGCCAAATGAAAAATATCTAAGATGTAAGAAGAGTGTATCAGGGCAAATATTTGTCTGTGAGGACCCTGCGTATCACAGGCCTTGAATTGAATTCACAGTATTATTATGTGGCAGACAGATAAAGCTATGCAACATGTTTGAATCATATTATCCTCTCTTTTCTCTTGAAAGATACAAATGAGTGTGTGGCTCTTCCTGGCTCTTGTTCTCCTGGTACCTGTCAAAATTTGGAAGGATCCTTCAGGTGCATCTGTCCACCAGGGTATGAAGTAAAAAGTGAGAACTGTATCGGTAAGGCTTAACATTTATTATTAAAGCCCACAAGCTGTTCAATGTAATAAAATTTGGTCCAGACTCTATGGGAATCAACTAAATCCCAGCCACTGAAAGTGTGCTGGCCCAAGGAATTGGATCTATATATGCATATAACTGCCACCGTCTGTTTTAGTGAGCCCTCAGAAATGATTTGAACGCGGAGTCGTGGGAATAAAGAATTTAAAAGATGTGGGATTTTTTTCATTAACAGAAATCTTATGCTACTCAAAGAATTTTCAGGGTACTCTAATCCTTTTTCCAAATGTCAACAGAGACTTTCTAATGAGTTTTAAAGCATGTCTACAAAAATTGTAATCTTTGGCCACCAACTTTAAAACCACTGTTAAAGGTGTCTCAGAAATGTGAAGCAGAAAATCTGGACAATGCTATTCAGGCATTTTGCTCTTCTGTGAAGGCCTCATGTCAAAACAGAAAATATTAATCCTTATGTCATAACAGATGGTTTTTTGCTGAAACTCTTCCCATGCACAAAAACACTGAAACCACATCAAAAGAGGGTCCCAGAATTTCCTGGTGGACACAGCGAAGGCACACCTTTTTACAGTTCACTTTATTTCAGTTTTGTACAAATTATTTTTCACTGCCTCATTGAAATTCAGAAGCACCACCATCTCAGTGTGGTTTTTCCAACAGGAAAGGATTGCTATGGGGTTTGCCTTTGAATTCTCACATAATTTGTTATGTTCATGTAAAAAAAAAAAAATTCTACCCTCCTTGGCCAGATTCCACCTAAACGTGTAGGTTTACCTCTGTTCAAATTTGAGAGTTGGAGTTATATAGACAGGTCTCAGGGAAACTGTTTACATCTTACAATTTTAATTAGTTTTCAGGCAATATAGTTAAATATACCTAGACATTCAGACTTGATCACAGGATTTTTTCCATGTCTGATTTGCCAAGTTTATATTATAAAGTTGTGTAGTGGTTTTATAATTGAAAAACTAATTAAAAAATCATACTAGATTCATCTTAGAAAGTTTCTTTAAAAGTTTAAAGCTCTACATTTTATTTTCTCTGTGTTTACTCTTGATGCCTTGTTGTCACCATGATCCATCCCTTTAAGGAGCAAAAATAACAGGGGTGCATTAGTCTCAAAGAAGGAAATAGAAATACATACAAGGACCTTCAAAAGTTCTTGGAAGAATTCCATCTCTTTTAATTCAATTTTTCCATTAAATTTTTTGAAACTCCTCATATGCTTCTTTGGATCAGATATACTCAGCTGTGTTTTGTTTTCTTAGTGAATCAATCTATGGACTTATTTATGTTTTAGTGAATTTCAAATTATTTCCCTTACCATTGTTCAGCAGTACCATTATTTTTGCTCTTCAAGTTACTTTTTAATTAACTTCACCTAGAATCTCATCTACCAGTTTTTCTCAGATGAAATGCTTCCTCACATGGCACATTTACTCATAAGCTTATATATGTATTTGGGTACATACACACACACAACTTCATCACTACATACAGTGGACATTACAGTGAATACTTGGCACCTTTCTTGGTGCTGAAAATATAAAATTCCAGTCTCTGACTTCAGGTCAAACTTCCTACCGAATGGAAGAGACTTATTTGTGTCTAGCATGTTTTGGAAAGATGTCTTTTCAGCACAGTGAAACACTGTAATGGAGATATGTTTAGAATATGAGAACACAGTAGAAGGCAGTGAATGAGGAGTATAGTCTTGAGAGGGTGGCATGTCAAGAAACTCATCACAATAGGTCCGTGACATTCTACGTGACACTCCAGTTGGCACATTGGTTAGTACTGAGCTGCTAACTGAAAGGTTGCTGTTCTAGCTGTTTCCTAGGAGGAAGAGGTGGCAATCTACTTCTGTAAAGACTGCTGGTCGGTTCCGACTCACAGCGACCCTGCACAGGGTTTCCGAGGCTGTAAATCTTTACAGGAGCAGAACGCCTCATCTTTCTGCTGCGGAACAGCTGGTAGTTTCGAACTGCTGACCTTGCAGTTTGCAGCCCGATTCATAACCAGTACGCTACCAGAGCTAGCTTTGGAAACCCTATAGGGCAGTTCCACTCTGCCCTAGAGTCAGAATCAACAACAAGGGGTTTAGGTGGCTCTTAAATGATGGATATAAATTTACCAGTCAGAGGAAAGGGAACAGAGGAGGAGACCATTGGAAACACAGGAAACATGAGCAGGCCGTGGGGTGCTGAATGGACTGCGGGTCGTGTGGAGCCCTTGCAGGGGTTTTCAGAAGCAATGTGGTATGGCTCATTAAACAAAATCATGCAGGTATAAATTGAGAAGGTAGTAAACTTCTGACACTGCCCAAAGCTGTGGGTGCAGCAGTGAACTAGACAACCCAACATGCCCGGTCCTCTTAGAGATTTACTTCTAATACGCGTGCAATTCTATGGTTAAAAAGACTATATGAGGGAGCTTCAAAAAGGCCCCTGGAAAAATTCCAATCTAATTCCATTTTCCATGCACTTTTTGAAGCCTCTTATAAAACCTAATATGGTTTTTTCCCCCCGTTAGGACACAACCCTTTGCATAAGTATTTTCCATGGAAAGAAATGGTTAAAAATCATTGGTTCTGAATCCTTATACAAATTCCAAGGCACCATTTTGAGGTGTGAGGAAAGGGGATGCTGAGATTCTCAAAATATGTCCCAGTCTTCCACCTTCCACAGGCCCAGGTTTTGAAATATGACAGTTATAATCAGATGTGAGTTTTAGAAAGATGATTCTGGTAGGATGCCAAAAGAAGAAAAGGGAGATGCAGAAGTCATTTTAGAAGACTGAGCAACTCAGGTGACAATTCTAGGTGTTGAATGCACTGTGGAAATAGAATGGACAGGTTATGTGGCTCCTTGCATATGAAAGTTAAGGGGAAGGGCAAATAAGGAAGACTCCAGGGCCCCAACTTCAGGTTCAGAGAGGGGCATAGGGAAGGGGGTGAACCAGAAGTCATGTCGATGCTGCAATATTTGTGAGATGTGGAGCTGGTCCTGTTCGCTAGCTACATGGATGTATGTTGATACAGATCCATCTCGGAGAATAGAAGACAGAGTGAGAGTCTTAGCATATGGTACTGGTTAAAGGTGAATAGTGGCTATTGCTGTGTTGCTGTAGGATCAGCACTGGACTGCAAACCACAAGGTTATCAGTTCAAACCTACCAGCTGATCCTCTGAAACCCTGTACTGGGTCACTACAAGTCAGAACCGACTCCACGGCACTTCAAGACAACAACAATAAAAATAAAATAATCTCTGAATTTTGAAGCAGTAATAGTTTATTTCTAAAGAATGTTAGACATATACCTTAATGCAGTCTGTTGTTTTATATTAAATATGTATCTATCTTTTGGCTTAATGTATTTCATAATTTAACAACAACAACAAAAAAACCCACTATCGTCTAGTTGATTCTGACTCATACCTACCCTATAGGACGAAACTCCCCCATAGGATTTCCAATTTTTAAATTGTTATGGAAACAGTCTAACACATCTTTCTCCTGCAGAGCGACTTTATCATATACTGAATAATTTATTGATTTGATTAAATTAATACATGCTCCTGCTTTCTGCAGATATAAATGAATGTGATGAGGATCCCAACATCTGTCTTTTTGGTTCCTGCACCAATACTCCAGGGGGCTTCCAGTGCATCTGCCCACCTGGTTTTGTATTATCCGATAATGGACGGAGATGCTTTGGTGAGCTTTGGAATGCTGATCCTTTCTCATTGTTGGTCCTTAGTAATTGCAAAGCTGGGTAGGAAACCATCATGCTGTGGTAAATATATCACCTGTAAGTTTAAAATAGAGGTCTCAAATCTGTATGCCCTGGACATTTTTTAAAGGTTCTTTAAATTATTAGCACTGTCTTAACAATTTTTAATTTTTTTATATTAAAAGAAAAATTGTGGCCCTGATTTGCCATTTTCATTTTGTTGCTGACATTGCTTTTATTTCATACATTAGTATATGGTATACTTTTAGGGATTATTGCAAGTTTTGTTTTCTTTAAACTGTAATGTAACAATGAAGAAAGAAATCATTGTTATTTTTAGTCTGGCCTCTCAGATTTTCCAAGCCCATTGTAAAAATTATTCTTAAACATTTTAAGTTGTCAAATTTATAGACAGGTCAGTTTAAGTTGGCAAGTGAAATCAACAAGTGAGGATTCCCAGACCTCTTTTAACAGCTCGTTCATGTCATGTTCTGCCCAGGAGAAGATTTCTATTAGAAACATTGAGCTAGATTCCAATTATTTCGTTGTCTTAAATCATCTGTAAGGAGCCCTGCAATGTGTGCTTTCTTGACCAGATACCCGCCAGAGCTTCTGCTTCACAAATTTTGAAAATGGAAAGTGTTCTGTGCCCAAAGCTTTCAACACAACCAAAGCAAAATGCTGCTGTAGTAAAATGCCAGGAGAGGGCTGGGGTGACCCCTGCGAGCTGTGCCCCAAAGATGATGAAGGTACGAACAGTGTTTGAAGGGTTTCCAGTAGTTGGTTTGGGCATGTTCTTTAGGAATAGTTTGAGTATGAATGAATCCCCTCATGTATAAGAAGTTTTGATGGTTCGGTGAGCAGCCTACTTTGAGGAACTTTTTCAGTTTTTGTATACAACATGTGTAAGTGCAGGTAGAGTTATCCTAGGACTTGAATTTTCCTCCAAGCTTGTTATTACTTGCTTTCATAAATATAAAGTTGACAGGTGCAGGGCAGGAGGTACAAGGAGAAGATGAAAATTTTGTTCCACATTGCTATAGGAGTCCCACATGGGTATTACATCACAGGCTGTGACTCTCCTAACATTACATATGATTTCTACGAAGCTGACTCCACACAGGGACGGTTTGGGGGGAAGGTCCTATTGCAGCAGGAAGCAGAGAACACAGGTGAATTGTAGGTTAGATCCTAGCAAGCTCAGCACTGCCTTAGTCTTTAGGTTAGCAGTGGCTACTGTGTCTAATGGGCAGGGGGGTCCAGTCCATCTGGCTGTTCAGTGTTAATTGAGCAAACAGAAAGCAATGGGTGCTGGCAGCAGGTTCAGAGCTGGGAGCGCTCAGGTGGCTTTCTTGAAATGTTCTCAGTGTTAACTGTGAAAAGAAATCAGAAACATGAAGACTCTTGCACCAGACAGATTTGTGGAGGGGCAAGTAGTTTAATACAATTTAATGTATATTGTGATCAGCTCTTGAACTCTGTGATAGCTTAGACTCTCCATTGATGGCTATGTGTTTTTCTCTGTAGTTGCATTCCAGGATTTGTGTCCATATGGCCATGGAACTGTCCCCAGTCTTCATGATACACGTGAAGGTGGGGTTTGATATTCTCTTTTTCTATTTTCTTATATGAATGAGTTACTATATGGCTATTCTTTAAATCATGCTATTCATACTAAAATATATAGTATATTGTATCATATTATAAATTGTATTATGTACAAATAAATGCAAAATATATTGTAGACCATGTATTATATTTATCATAAGATAGAGCTGTGATATGTGCAATAACAATCCTTTGGTAAAATGTGTTTAAGAAAGGTTAATCTGTGTCACATGATACATACACTATTGGTGTCAGTTTTTGTATGTAGAAGTTCATTCATAGCAATCCTATTTTTTAGATGTCAATGAATGTCTTGAGAGCCCAGGAATTTGTTCCAATGGGCAGTGTATCAACACAGATGGCTCTTTCCGCTGTGAATGCCCCATGGGTTACAACCTTGATTACACAGGCGTGCGCTGTGTAGGTGAGTGTTGCTTCTCTGTTACACAATTTCAAAGATGCATTTATTTTTCATATTCATCAAAAGATATCTCAGATAACCTGGGTGGTGGTGGGATTTACAAAACCAGGATAAATAGCTGGTATCGGCTCTGTCTTTGCCCATCTCATATTTTCAATCCAAACGGACTTCAGCCCAGTCTCTGCTTTCAAACCCATGAACAAATTCTGATGTGACTATTGTCGTTGCTAAGTGCCGTTGAGTCAGTTCTGACTCATAGCAACCCCGTATCGGGTTTCCAAGGAGCAGCTGGTGGTTTTGAACTGCCAACCTTGTGGTTTACAGTCCAGTTCATCATATTATAAATTGTATAATATACAAATAAGTATATAATATGCTGTTCCTACAGCAGCACATGCCCAAATTCACTAGTTGACGGGTAGAGACCAGTTTTACTTTTTGACTCTCCATGCCTACTTTTTTAGCAAAAGGCCACATCCCTTGTCTGGACTTGTAGTCTGCACAACATGCTTGTCTGGGGCTCTGAGCATTGCACACTGGATCCACCAGGCAGAGGAGGGTACAGGAATTAAGTGTGCCCTTCACCAGTCCTGGAAATGTATAAAGTATCTTGTTGTTATGTGCTGTGGAGTCGGTTCCAACTCATAGTGACCCTGTACAGGGTTTCTGAGGCTGTGAATCTTTATGGAAGCAGAAAGCCTCATCTTTCTCCCGTGGAACAGCTGGTAGTTTCAAATTGCTGACCCTGAGGTTCGCAGCCCAATTCGTAACCACTACGCTACCAGAGCTCCTTTAAAGCAAAGCTTCTCCACACATTGTGGCACTTCCTTGTTCTTTTTCAGATACTGATGAGTGTTCAATTGGCAATCCCTGTGGAAATGGTACGTGCACCAATGTGATTGGGAGTTTCGAATGCAATTGCAATGATGGCTTTGAGCCTGGCCCCATGATGAACTGTGAAGGTATGTGATCCTTTCCTTAAAAATGATTCCTTTTTGTTATAAAGGATTTTTTTTATATAAGCATCTCAGTTTTATGTTATCTGTTCTGAGGGCAGTCATAGTCATTATATTTTCCTTTCCTGTCTCTTCTGTATGTTGATTAACTCTGGATTAAACCATTTATGTGCCGTGGAGTCGGTTCCGACTCATAGTGACCTTGTACAGGGTTTCCAAGGCTGTAAATCTTTACGGGAGCAGAAAGCTTCATCTTTCTCCTGCGGAACAGCTGGTAGTTTCGAACTGCTGACCCTGAGGTTCGCAGCCCGATTCGTAACCACTACGCTACCAGAGCTCCTTGGATTAAACCATAGATATTGTGAATATAGTCTAGAATCAGTTATAGTATTCCAAAGAATGTTGCAGCTTTTGGGTGGGTGTGTGTGTGTAGGCAGTTAACATGGGTAGGCTGTCATGCCTGTAGTGGGACATGGCTTGGATTTCAGTTCTGTTTTGTAAGCTGTAGTTGCTATCTTCTTTGATTTTTGTCCCATAGATGCATGGTGCAACCAGCAGTTTGGGCTTAGTTTATGCAAAATTTAGTGTTTCTCCTTCTCTGGCCCTCTCCTTTGCAGTTTTCCCTTCTTACTTTAGCTGCTCTGGTTGACCCCAGGACTCCCTCTCCTGGTTCCTCTAGACAGAAGATTAGAAAGATTTCTATCAGTGATTTAGCTGCAGCTGCTGTCAGGCTAATTAATATAAAAGGGGGAAGAAAAAGTGGAGGGGATTAATTTACTCCTTCCTGGTTCCTTACTCCATTTCAACTTATTAGTGAAAACAGCCTGTTATTTGTTTCGTGTCCAGATTACTCAGATAGTTGTTTTGATATTTTGACCAGAGTTTATAACTACTGTTTGTGTGTCAAACCATAGTCCTTCATATTACCAGAAGCTCTGTTATCACCTGTGACCTCCAAATAAAATCTTTGGTGATTATGTAAACAAATTATTAGAACTCTAGGCTGAGTCTAGAGAAATGCCTGCCTATTTCTTTGACCAGATATCAATGAATGTGCCCAGAACCCACTGTTGTGTGCGTTCCGCTGCATGAACACCTTTGGGTCCTATGAATGCACGTGCCCAGTTGGATATGCCTTAAGGGAAGACCAGAAGATGTGTAAAGGTAAGGTTACTCAAGTTGGAAAATCCAAACTTCACTGCCACCCTTGAAATATATTTTAAGGTTTTTATATTTCTTAGCTGCCTTCTTCTAGAACTTTACAAAAATACAAAAGGGCAGCATCTTGCCAATTAATTTGCCACATCTAGATATCATGACACTTGATGGTTCTTCCAACCAAGTCAAAGACAACATGGGTTGAGAACTTCACCATTATCACACTCTTAGACTCTTACTGAAGCAAAGATTGCCCTTTTCTGAACTCTCTTTATCATTAGGACCAGTGCTTGGAATGCTGATAAATCTGGAAATTAGCCAGCAGCTGAGAAAACCTGGCGTGGGTCCTCTTTTCCTTGTCACATAAATGTATTTCATCTTAAGAATACGATGACTAAAAATATTTAAGCTGTCGCCTGCCTCTGAGAGTTTTCTGTTTTTGTCTTTTTCCCATTAAAAATATTTTACAGATCTAGATGAATGTGCAGAAGGCCTACACGATTGTGAATCTAGAGGCATGATGTGTAAGAATCTGATTGGAACCTTCATGTGCATCTGCCCCCCTGGAATGGCCAGAAAACCTGATGGAGAAGGCTGTGTGGGTAAGACACATATGGAACTAAACACTTAGAAAGATACATCACGTTTAACAGAAAAAATAATTCCAGAGGTAATACTGACATTTGAGGTTACTGGTCTGAAGTGTATTTAACCTAATCTACAAATTAACTGTTTTTACAAAAGGGCAAATTCCTATATGTGTAGTAAAAATTCATTATAAAATGTATAAACGATCCATCAGATTATGATTGAATTTTTGTATATTTTCCTAAACCTATTAGATACTTTTTTCCAAATATACTGCTTTAGTAAATTTAAAAGGAAAAGAAAAAGACTTAAGTGTGCAATGGGTCATTCAAAAGCACTATTCATCTAAAATATGTAAACCTGAAAGTTAACCTAAACTCCTAAATCATATTATAGAGTAATATCTATCCCTCAAATCTAGCACAAAGTAAGCACGTATGGAAGGATGGAAAGAGACATTAATACTCATTCATTTTATTTATTTCTGTTTTTATTTGCACTTATTTGAATGTGTGTGTATATTCATAGCTTGTCTACTTAGTTCTTAGCAGTGTGTTCTAATATTTATGCATGGAAAATTCCTTATTTTTGTAAGTAGCTCAATTGTACACTGTCTTGTCATTGCACTTATGTGTATATTTGAATGGGGGAGGAGGTAGGCATTGTACTTGAGTTAAAAGACTAGATTCTTGGACTTGTATCTGCCATAAGAGAGGGTGACTTCAAAGTAGCTACATTCTCTTTGTGCCTCATTGGTTTCATCTATACAGTGAGAAACTTTGTCCCATAATTTAGGGATGGGAGAAGATACCTGTTCTAGCTCTAATATTCTATGATCCTACGAACTTAACTGTTTAAAGAAAAGACCCAAAGAAGGACTGTCCACTTGTACATTTTCATTTTTAAAAGATGCTACAAAACATGTCATTGTTAGTTGCCATCGAGTCAGCTCCAGTGCGTAGCGACCCTAGGCACAACAGAACAAAACACTGCCTGATCCTGTGCCATCCTTACAGTTGTTATGCTTGAGCTCATTGCTCCTGCCACTGTGCCAATCCATCTCATTAGAAGACTTGCTCTTTTTCACTGACTCTCCACCTTACTGAATATAATGTCGTTCTCCAGGAACTGCTCCCTATGCAAAGAACAAGAAGGAAAGTGTAGCCATCCAGGCTTCTAAGGATCGTTCTGGCTATACTTCTTTCTCATGCAGATTTGTTTGTTCTTCTGGGAGTCTATGGTAGTACTTTAATTGTCATCTCTAACACCATAACTCAAATGCACTCATTCTTCTACGGGTTTCCTTGTTTATCGTCTAACTTTCACATGCATTTGATTATTATTCTATGCCAGACAGCATTATATTTCAGTATAGATCTTGAAATGTTCTTTTTGATGATGAATGTGACACCATTCCTCTTTAATTTTTAGGTCCCAGCCTAGTAAACCACATGATTGTCAGATTCCAAAAGGCCAACACCAGTCCATTTTAGCTTACTAATGCTTAGGATTTCAATCTGTTATGCATTCCATTTCATATAATCCATGTTCCAATTATTAATGGATGTTTGCAGCTGTTTCTCCTCATTTTCAGTTGTACCTCATCCACAAAGGAAGGTCTCAAAAGCCTCACTCCATTCGCTTCAGTACAGTCAACTCTACTTGAGGAGGAAGCTCTTTCCCAGTCGTATTTTGAGGCTGTCCAACCTAAAGGGCTCATCTTGTGGCACAGTATCTGACAATGTTCTGCTGCTGTCCATAAAGTTTCCAGTGACTAAACACTCAGAAATAGTCCCCCTGGCCTTTTTCCTAGTCTGTGAAACCTGTCCACCATGAGTGACCCTGCTGGTATTTAAAGTACTGTGGTATAGTTTCCAGCGTCACAGCAGACAGATGATAAAATCTATCAGTATTGCATCTGTCAATATTAAAAGTCGAGACTTGAATTTTTTTCTTCACTTCTTTCAGCTTGAGAAATGCTGAGCAAGTTCTTCCCTTTTAGTTTTCTAACTCCAGGTCTTTGCACATTTCCTTAGAATACATATTGACTTCGTCTTCTTGAGCTGCCCTTTGAAATGTTCAGCTAAGCTTTTTTCTCATTTATTGCATCCACTTCTCTTAGCTTCTCTATGCTCAAAAGCAAGTTTCAGAGTCTCTTCTGGCATCCATTTTGGTCCTTTCTTTCCTTCCTGCCCTTTTAATGATCTTGGTTTTCTTCATGTATTTTGTTCTTGATGTCTTCCCCGAATTCTTCTGGCTTTCAGTCATTAGTGTCTAATGCATCACATTTGTTCTTTAGATGGTCTCTCAATTCATGCGGAATATATCCAGTATCATATTTTGGATCTCGTGGACTTAAATTTTCTTCAGCTATTAGGCAGAACTTGCATATGAGTCGTTCATGATCTTTTAAACAGTTTGCCCCCGGCCTTGTTTTGGTTGATGATACGGAGCTTTTCCAGCATCTCTTCCCACAGTTGTAGTCAGTTTGATTCCTGTGTCTGTATTAAATCTGGTGAAGTCCATGCATATAGTCATCTTTTATGATGTTTTAAATATATATGTGCAATAAATACATTATTGGCCTTGCAAAATTCTATCATGTATTCTCTGGCATAATTTTTAATAGGCCATATTTTCCAACTACTGATCCTTCCTCTTAATAGTTCCAATCACCAGTAGTTATCACTACATCTTTATTGCATGTTTGATTAATTTCAAACTAAAGAAGTTGGTTGAATTCTTTAATATTTTCATCAGTAGCTTTAGTGTTATTGAGTAAAATTGAATAATAGTGGTATTAACTGGTCTTCCTTTTAGGTTAATGGATATTGTCCTATCAGAGACAGCATTGTACTTCAAGATAGATCTTGATATATGCTCTTTTTGATGATGAATGTGATGTCATGTCCATTTTTCATTCCCAGAATAGTAAACCACATGATTGTCAGATTCAAAATGATCAGGACCAGTCTGTTTCAGCTAAACTAATGCATAGGATGGACTCCTGGTGTGGTGCTATAAGATAAGCACTGGGCTGCTAACCACAAGGTTGGCAGTTCAAACCCACCAGCTGCTCCTTGGAAACCCTATACAGGGTTACTATGAGTTGGAACCAAGTTGACTGTACTTAGGAACAACAACAATGCATAGAACACCAATCTTTATGCCTTTGATTTCATTTTTGACAACTTCCAATTTTCCTAAATTCATAACTTTCATACGTTCAGTGTTCCATTTATTAATGGATATTTACAGTTGTTTCTCCTCATTTTGAGTTGTGCCCCATCTGCAAATGAAAGTCCTGAAAGCTTTGCTCCATTCACATCATTATGGGCAAGTGTACTTTGAGGAGACCGCTCTTCCCTAGTTGGTATTTTCAGTGCCCTCCAATCTGACAATATTCTGGTGCTATTCAAAAGGTTTTCAATGGGTATCCATTCAGAAGTAATCCACCTCTCCTTCTTCCTGGACTATTTTAGTCTGGAAAGTCTGCTGAAACCTACCTGTCCACTTTGAGAGACCAGTGGCATAGCTTTCAGCATCACAGCAACATGCAAGCCACCACAACGAGACACTTCACACCCACTACGATGTCTGTTATCAAAGAATGAAAATAACAAGTGAAAAAATAACTGGTGAAGATGTGGAGAAATTGGAATCCAATTATAAATTGGTGCAACCCTGTGGCACACAGTGTGGCAGTTCCTCAAAGGCTAAATTTAGAAGCATCGATTGTTGTTAAGTGCCATCAAGTCAGTTCTGACTCATAGTGACCCTGTATAGCATTTCCAAGGAGCAACTGGTGGGTTTGAACTGCTGACTTTTTGGTTCACAGTCCAATGCTGATCTACATCAGCACAAATGACCCAGTAATTCTGGGGTTTGGGGCGTGCTGTTGTTTTGTTAAGTGCTGTAGTGTTAGTTACAACTCTTAGTAACCCCGTCTAAGGTTTCTGAGGTTGTAAATCTTTGTGGAAGCAGTTATGTCTCAGATCTTTCTCCTGCTTTTAGGTATATGTCTATCCAAAAGAATTTCAAGCAGGGTCTCAGATACAGGTACATCAGATCCATAGTAGCATTATTCACAGTAGCCAAAAGGTGGAAAACACCCCAGGTGTACTTGAACAGATGAATGAATAAACAAAACGTGGTTATATATACACACAGTAGAGTATTACTCAGCCGTAATATGTGCTACAACCCGATGAACCTTGAAAATGATGCTAAGTAAAATAAGCCAAAACAAAACAAATAGTGTATGGTGGTGTTTGTATGGAATACCTAGAATAGGCAAATTCATAGGAAGAGTGGATTAGGGAGTTATGGTACTGCTTAAAGTATACTGTGTTTCTATTGGAATGATGATAAAATTTTGGAAGTAATAGTGATAGTTACACAAGTTGTGAATACAATGTATACCACTGAATTATCCACTTTAATTGACGTGACACATTTTATGCTATCTATATTTTACTATGGGAGTCCTGGTGTGGTGCTGTGGGCTAATGCGCTGGACTTTAAAATCCGTTTGCATTGCAAGGTCAGTGGTTCAAGCCCACCAGTTGCTCCTTGGAAATCCTATACAGGGTCTCTATGGGTTGGAACCAACTCGATGGCACTTAACAACAACAACGTATTTTACCACAATAAATGTTCTTTAAAAAACTGTTTAGTGGTTACTACTAAACGAAGGAGGCCTGGTGTGGCGTTGTGGGCTAATGTGTCGTCAGACTGCAAAGTCATTTGAACTGAGCGGTTGGTGGTTCAAGCTCACCAGCTGCTCCTTGGAAACCCTATACAGGGTTGCTATGGGTCGGAATCAACTCGACGGCACTTAACAACAACAATAACTAAAAGGAGTCCTGGTGTGGTGCTGTGTGTTAATGCTCTGGACTGCAAAGTCAGTTTGAACCTCAAGACTGGTGGTTTAGGCTTACAGCTGCTCACCGGAAACCCTATCCAGGGTTGCTATGGGTCAGAACTGACTCAATGGTACTTAACAACAACAACTAAAAGAATAGAAAGTGAATGTATAATTTCCAAACATGAACCAGGGCAGGAGGGGATCACAGAAAATTATCTAAGAAAACTCAAGAGATAGGGGAAATAACAGAGTAATCATAACACAGTATAAATAGGTGAGAAACCAAGCATCAGTAATCATAAAAAAATAGTTTAAATTGCTGGGTAAAAGATAAACGTATTTTTATCTTGGTTAAATGTAGCTGTGTGGAGTTTTTTTGTTGTTGTTTTTTCTATATATATAAGAATTGCACCTAAATCAAAATATGAAATAGTTTGAAAGAATTAGAAAAAGAGACCCATGGCAAATGTTAATTGAAAGAAAGCATATGTAGCAAAGTAAATGTCAATGAAATTAAAGGGTAAAAAAATTTTAAGTAGAAAGATATATGGAACAGTGTGTCAAAGAGATATGATTGTCATACATGTTGCTATGCACTCAACAAAGTAGCTTCAAAATATAACACAAAAAACTTTATACAATATGAAATATAATAAGTAGGACTACATAGAGTTTACTTGAAACATGTTTGGTCTAATAAGAGTTACTTATGACCAAGTAAAGGAGCAGTGGAGTCCTGGTAATAGGGTATTGTAGGAAAAGCACAGGACTGCAAACTGCAAGGTCAGTGATTCAAACCCACCAGTCACTCTTCAGAAACACTCTATACAGGACTGTTATGAATCAGAACCGACGACATCATTTAACAACAACAAAGGAGTAATACTATCCAAATTCCCCCTCCCGTTAAATGCGCTCTGCATACCACAGTTGCTCCTATAACTCCTTTACACAGAGCTTGCCTAGGAGCTGGTCCGTTATCCCTGGCTTTTGTGTAGTTTTTACCCTGTACCTACTACCCCAGCCTCTCTCCACATCACAAATGGACATCCCCTTCCCCAAAGTCAGCTCCCTTCACATATGGCCTCTAAGGGCAGATCTACCCTTTGTAAGGTCCGTTTTCCAGTTCTTTATCAAGCACCATGCCTTCCACACAGAACAGAGAGAAAGAGAGAGACTATGGTTAGAAAGAATCCACCTGGAATGCTGAGGTCAATTTAAAAATAAATCTGTATTCACATGTTTTTATCCCATCTCAATCATATTTTGGTGAAGATGTTTTAAATAAGATTATCATCTATTAAAAGATAATTCGTGGACTATAATTTTACAATCTGCCCATTTTTTGAAAGATGAAAATGAATGCAGGACCAAGCCCGGAATCTGTGAAAATGGGCGCTGTGCTAACATCATTGGAAGCTATAGGTGTGAGTGTAATGAAGGATTCCAACTGAGTCCCTCGGGCACCGAATGTCTTGGTAAGTAGACGCATTTTACTTAAGAAATTAAACATCTGTTTTATGATATCACAGAAAAGCTCTCACATATATATCATCTTCTTCTGGAAAGGTCCCCTAATCTGAGTAATTCTCATACCTCTTCCTAAGGGACACATCCGCTAAAATGACGTATTGAATATTAGTGTGTGTCATGTGCATACCTCTGTGTAATGTAAATAATGATCTCAAGTAGCCTTTCCAAAATTAAAACTAATTAAACCTGATGGAAAATGTGACTTTAAAACTGAGTCAATAAAACTTGCATCGGGATGATTTAATTCTAAAAGAAAATATTTTCGGTGTGAGGTAAGCTCTGTTGATATTAATGCAAAATAAATGCAATATTTTTTTTAAAAATGCAATGAAGACTGGCTTTCTCTAATTGAAAATCTCACTAATGAATTTCTTGTACAAAATACAAATCTCAGACACTGCATTATATTTTAATTCATTCATATTTAAAATTCATGTTGTATAAACCATCTTAGTTCTGAGCAAGTATACAATTATAGACTAGTAAAACTTAAGGTAAATAAATATCAGAACATTTCTCAGATTGTTAGACTTATCCCTTGATTTGACATAAAAGATGATGTTTCAAATATATTCAGTGGCATTTTTTTCTTTTGTTTTTTTCCAGAATGACATCTCCTTAAAATCCTAGGAAAATTTTAGTCAAGGAAACAAATTTTATTATTGTCTTAAATCTAGACCTTTACTAATTACCTTGTAGGCAATAAAAAAAAGGTAACCTACGTAGGAAGTGTACTTTTGTATTCATATTACTAAGTTCTGCTATTATGCCTGATCGGAGAAACTACTTTATTTTATTAAAGGGATGCTTGCTTAGTATAATGTTTAAACCAGCTCTTAAATTTAGAAAGTAGAAGAGCCTATGTTGAACATCTACCTAGAATTTCCTTTTTAAAAGATAAATCTGTGTACTCATTTTCTTATTTAAAAGGAAACATATAATTTGGTTTTTCTTTTATTTGAATTCTATAGGGTTGTAGTTTTACTATCACTTAGCTGCTTGCTGATGGTTGAACAAAACACAATGTATATAGTACAGTATCACTGTTTCTCAAATCTAGTAAGCTATACTTATAGTGAAAGGAGTCTGGTGTGGTGTTCTAGTCAGCAGTTCAAACTCACCCGTCACTCCTAGTAAACTCTGTACAGCACTGTTGATCTGAGTCCTTATAGACTGACGGATTTAACAATAGTGAAAAAAGTTTTATGAGCTCACCTCCATCAAGACTTTTATCATCATTGAGCTATCTTAAGTGGCATGTCTGTTCGTAGGTGAGAAGCATTTTAAATTGTTACTAAGAAGGAAAGTCTAGACTATCCTATTTAAATCAGTTCCATGGTATTTACGCTTATTTTCTACTTTGTCATTTCAGACAATCGACAGGGACTGTGCTTTGCGGAGGTATTACAGACTATGTGTCAAATGGCATCCAGCAGCCGCAATCTTGTCACCAAGTCAGAATGCTGCTGTGATGGTGGGCGAGGCTGGGGCCATCAATGTGAGCTTTGTCCACTTCCAGGAACTGCCCAGTACAAAAAAATATGCCCTCATGGCCCAGGATATACCACTGACGGAAGAGGTAAGGAACCGAGGAGATTCAGGCATACTTTCAATTTAATGAATTTAATTCAGAGTATTTATAAAGGAAAAGTGGAAAATAATGAAATAATAATAATAACAGCTGCAGTATCCTATCAGAGTGGCTAATAGTGTGTGTGCATTTGTGCATTTATAGAAAATCTGTTTGGCGACTGTTAAATTTCACTAGACTTCATCATCATATGAACCTGTGAGATAGAATTTATTCCTATTCCCATTTTAACAGATGAGGAAATGAAGTGCACAGCTAAGATTGCCCAAGGTCACACTATTTTTAAGGTACAAGAGTGAAGAAAATCTTTATGATGTTACAAACCAAGTTTGTGACCCCCAAACTATACTTGCTTTATTTAAATAAACAGTGTTTGAATGTGCACATCAGCTCATCTGTTTGCAACATATTTGAGTTAGCATGTCTCATAACTGACTACTAGGTTTTCAGTTTTTTGCACAACCAAATAAAATACAAATTGTCTTGAAAAGTACCAATTTCTTCCATTACAAATTCTGCCCCCTACTATGCATGATTATTTTGCTAATGAAATCTTTTCTTCAGAGTGCAAATTGCTACAAGAGTGAAATTGAGGACAATCTATGTGAAACTATCACAAGTGTTAAATTAACTGAACTTCAAAAAATAGCTTTCTATATCTCAAAAATAATCATACATAGGTTGCAAAATTAGTCTTAAACACAGCTTTCAGCATAACCTTCCTTTGCTTATTTTCTCCCATCACCGCATTTTATTTTTCTTTCCCTTCCATGCTGGCTCTTCTTCCAAATGATGAAAGGGACCACACACCCCCATCACTATTACAAATGTTGGTGTTTCATCAGCTCATTTCAGTTACTTAATTTCTCTTAGTTACTAAGCAGTTTTACCACAGAAATGTATACACTTGCATTTGCTTTTCTTGATCCACAGATATCGATGAATGTAAAGTCATGCCAAACCTCTGCACAAATGGTCAGTGCATCAACACCATGGGCTCATTCCGCTGCTTCTGCAAGGTTGGCTACACCACAGATCTCAGTGGCACCTCTTGTGTTGGTAAGACGAGGCACCTCAACATCTGGGGACTTAGCCATTGTTTCCTACAAGTCACTTTGTTGTTGTTAAGTGCCGTCGAGTCAGTTCAGACCCATAGTGACCCTGTATAGGGTTTCCAAGGAACAACTGGTGAGCTTGAACCACCGACCTTGTGGTTCAAACTGACTTTGCAGCCCAGCTCATTAACTCCACAGCACCACACCAGAAGTCCTACAAGTCACTTACTATTTGTCAAAACCAATCCACTGCCTTTAAGTGGATTTCTGACTCATAATGACTCTGCATTGGGTTTCTGAGGCTGCAAATCTTTACTGGAGCAGAAAGCCTCATCTTTTCTCTCAGGGAGCAACGGGTGGATTTGAACTACTGACCTTTTGGATAGCAGTGCAGCACTTATCCTACAGCACCACCAGGGTTCTTTTTTCCACAGAGCAGCTTAGTGGGCTTGAACTGCTGACCGTCCAGTTTAACAGTCCAATGTTTATCCTGTAGTACATAGTAGAGTAGCTTTATTAGAAAACTTTGGAAGGTACGTTTTATTAAAATGATGAAATCCCTCTCAATAATGTGGTTCTGAGCGACAGTGTAGTTGTTCCTTGTCCAATATTGTGGGAAACAGACTGTTTAATTCATTTAAAAAAAAAAAAAAAAAAAGTCTCTTCAGTCAGAGAAACTTTCCTAAAAATTATAAACATAGACTTTTTAAATTTTTATGTTTTAACATAAAAGATATAATTTGACATCTTTTTTCATGACTTTTCTGTATGTGTGGTTGCACATGTAGTATTGCATTTTGTTGTCCATCTTCACCGTTTCCTTTTTTGGTCTAGTAGTGGTGGTGACTGTACACCGAGGAGTTGGTTCAACTCATAGCATCCGTGTCTAGGGTTTCTGAGGCTGTAGATGTTTATGGAAGTAGAAAGCCTCATCTTTCTCCTGTGGAGCTACTGGTACAATCAAACTGCTGACCCTGCAGTAATCAGCCCAGTTCATAATCCACTCCACTGTCAGGGCTCATGTTGTTGTTGTTAAGTGCTGTCGTGCGGTTCCAACTCATAATGATGCTGAGGGTTTCCAAGGAGCAGCTGGTGAGCTTGAACCACTGACCTTACAGTTCAAACCAACCTTGCAGTCCAGTGCATTAAGCCACAGTACCACACCAGGGTTCCTAAAGCATGCTAATTAAGCATCATTGAAAATTTACATTTGCAAAGTCATCTTTGTATAAAATTCATCTAAATTTATACAGTTTCCTTTCTGTCTCACACATCCCATTCTATGACAGTCTGAAGTCTTTCCAGGGCATCTAACTTTTCTTTTTTCCCCTATTAGATTAGCTTATGTGATACTGTTAGCTTACATAGTTTAAAGGATATGTACATCTGACATAAAGTGGTAAAGAACAACCAGGTTGACTCTTTGGTAACGTACAACTCAGTGAATTCTAAAGGCTTGGGAGGAATGGAGAGTGAGCTTTTAGCATTATGTTGGCATCGGTTGAGTTGATCTGCTTCACAGGGGATATGGAGATTGCTATCAGTACTAGCAGAAAAGAGAACATTCAAATGAGAAATTTAGGAGGTCTTAGGTTGGTGTGGCATTATAGGACAAGCAGTGGACTACTACTAACTGCAAGGAGTCCTAGTGTGATGCTGTTGGATAAGCACTGGACTGCTAATTGCAAAGTCTACAGTTCAAACCCACCAACCATTCCTCAGAAACTCTGCACAGGATCTCTGAGTCTGAACCAACTCAATGGCACTTAACAACAAAGGGCTTCCTTAAAAGGCTTAGGCAGGAGGTAGAGAAACTGCAAGGGATGAGATACTGTATGCTTGGGCCGCTAACCAACTCTGGACCAAAAGAAAAGAAAAGTTCTTGTTGCTAGGTGCCATGAAGTAGGATCTGACTCCTAGTGACCCTGTAGACAACGGAACAAAACACTGCCAGTCTTGCACCATCCTCACAATTTGAGTGTGTTCCAACCTAGGAGACTGATCTTCCAGGACTATATTACATTGTGTTCCGCTGTTATCCATAAAGCTCTCAGTAGCTTTTTTTTTTTTTTTTTTT